GTTAAAAGACTATGTTTCCGGCTTAGAGCATCAGCAGCCTTATTAGTATGTCCGGCCTTATGCTTGATAACAAACTCAAACCTTTGTAAAAAAGACAACCAACGAGCATGCATGCGGCTAATGGTTTTTTGAGTGTGTAAAAATTTTAATGAGAAGTGATCCGTGAATAAAACAAATTCCTTACTTAAGATGTAATGCTCCCATTGTTTCAATGCTCGAACTAAAGCATAAAGTTCTTGTTCATATGTGCTCCATTTTTGGCGAGACGGGCTAAGTTTCTCACTAAAGTATTCTAGCGGATGGTTATTTTGGGATAACACTGCTCCTATTCCTACCCAGAGGCATCTACAGCTACTTCAAAAGGAAGGTCAAAGTTTGGGAGGGCAAGGATTGGACTTTGACATAGTTTTTTCTTTATAAGTTGAAAGCTCTCAGTTTGTGGAGTATCCCATGAGAATTTGCCCTTTTTTAAACAATTTGTCGGTGGGAAACAATAGAACTAAAATTCCTAATAAATTTCCTATAAAATGATGCAAGTCCCAAAAAACACTGTACGTCTTTCACGGTTTTAGGTTCCTCCCATTCAGAAATAGATTGTACTTTAGAGGGATCCATTTTTACGTGATTGTGTCCTATTATGAAGCCAAGGAAAGAAATTTCATTTGGTACAAAAAGACATTTTTTAAAGTTTATGACCAATTTATTGGATGCAAGAGCAGAAAATAGTGATCTAAGGTGGTCCATATGGTGAGACATAGTTTGGCTATACACTAGGATGTCATCAAAGTAAACAACAATAAATTTGTTAATGAATGAGAGTAATACCAGGTTCATGAGCCGCATGAAAGTGCTTGGTGCATTTGATAATCCAAATGGCATCACAAGCCATTCAAATAAACCTTCGTTTGTTTTGAAAGCTGTCTTCCACTCATCCCCGGGTCGAATGCGAATCTGGTGGTATCCACTCTTAAGATCTATCTTAGAAAAAATTGTAGCGCCACCCAATTGGTCCAATAGATCATTGATCCGTGGAATAGGAAACCGGTATTTTATAGTAATCTTGTTTATTGCCCGRCTGTCAACGCACATACGCCAASAACCATCCTTTTTAGGGGTAAGGAGGGCGGGGACTGCACAAGGGCTAAGGCTTGGTTTTATATGCCCTTTTTGAAGCAACTCGTGTACTTGATCGTGTAGTATCTTATACTCCGATGGGCTCATGCGGTAATGCGCTAAATTACGGAGCGTTGCTCCGGGGAAAAAATCGATATGATGTTGAATGTCCCGAAGGGGAGGTAATCCGGGTGGTGGCTCCATAATAGTGGGAAACTCATTTAATAGTTTCTGCACGATAGGGGAACAAATAGGACCATCCGTATGAGTAGCGAAGTCTTTTATTATCAATCCCAGGATAGGTTCTTTAGGATAGATTAATAATCGCTTGGCTGATGTAATAGTGAATAAACTCCCCTTTCCTTTATCACTATCCTTTAGAGGGATAGATTTAGATTTGTTAACAGGGAGGAGAACCACCTTTTTCCCCATCCATTGAAATTCACAAGTATTGTCTCTCCCTTTATGTAAAGCCTGAGTATCATATTGCCACGGACGTCCTAATAGCACATGACATACATCTATGTCGAGAACATCACATATAATTTGATCCTTCTAGGTAGCACCAATGGACAAAGCTACCGCACACGTTTGAGTCACTTGTACCTCGCCCCCTTTTTTAATCCAAGAAACTTTATACGGAGCGGGGTGAGGTGATAGGGGCAAGTTTAACGCGGTAACCAACTTGCTAGCAATGATATTTTCAGTGCTACCACTGTCAATTATGACATTACAGATTTTGCCATTGATAGTACACCTAGTCCGAAAGAGAGCATGTCGTTGATAAGCAATATCGGACTTAGGAGTTAACAACACTTGTTGAAGAACACATGAAACGATATCACCTTCGTCTGGTACCGTATAATCAATATCATCAACAATTTCCTCACTGCTGTCCTCTTGTAGGACATCCTCTTCGACCATATTGATTATCTTACGGTGCRGACATTCATTGGATAAATGACCGGTTTGTCCACACCTAAAACATTTCCCTAATGTAGGCGATGGTATATATTGCCCTGTTTCTTTCCTGTCACCAAATCAGTGTGGTTAGATTTGACTAAATCAGTGTCCAGAGTTTTACCTTTTGTCGTAGGAATGGTACGGTTGGGAGAGGAAATGTTGTCACTCGTCGAAGTAGGCTTCTTGGAGGTTCCACCTTGTTCCCAATTGGTCCTTCGGGTGTACTGTTTTTTGAATCGATTTCCAACTTGTTCCTCAATTGTTGTGGCCGTAGAGATGRCCTCATTTAAATAACCTATTGGTTGGAGSGCGATCTGTTCTTTAATATYCGAGCGTAATCCCCCAATGAATCTTGCCACAAGATGTTGTTGTCCTTCCAATAGATTTGTTCGAGCTCCCAAGCGGTGAAATTCTTCAGAATAGTCAGCAATAGATTGGGATCCCTGTCTACAATTTTGATACTGATTATATAAAATTTGTTCAAAATTAACAGGAGGGAAGCGTTCCCGCATGAGTTTCTTCATACGTTCCCAACTTCGAATGGGTTTTTTACCATAACGATGTCTATTAATTTCCAGCTGATCCCACCACGCCGAAGCTCCACCTTTGAGTTTTAACGCTACAAGTCTTACCTTCTTATGTTCAAGTGTTCCCATGTAACCAAAAAAATTTTCGACATTCTTTACCGAATCAAGAAACCCTTCAATATCCATTTTACCATTAAAGGTAGTTTGATCAATTTTCATCTTGTATTCATTACTATCTTGGTTTCTATGTGGGTTAGGATATCTACCAAACCTGTCACTTGAAAGGCAGGTAGTTCTTCCTCCTCCTCACTGGAAGAATCTGCATTGAACTCATTCCGCCGCTGAAACAAAGGATTCTGGTTCAGTTCTTGATTGAAATGTCGTGGTTCTTAGAGGTTTCTTGGACCCAAACGGATTGTTTGTGGTCTTCTTAGTGGATCTACTTGCCCTTCTTGCTGAAATAAATTTCTTCGATCCTCCCTCTGTACTTCTTGATCCAATCTTTCTTGTTGTCCTGTGGTGCGTCGGACCGGGGATCGTTCCACACTTAAAGCTTCAAGTTTCTCATGTATAATCTCCAAGATGTGTTTAATCTCGCCAACATCCTGTTGGATGACCTTCACCTCCCCTTCAATCGACAGCAAGCGTTCGGTTGGCGATCGTGGCGAGAGAATGGAGGTCTGCTCCATTTCTTTGTTGATGAGGGAAGAGTCACCGGTGATCGACTTCTTTCCTGCCATTTGGTGCCCAGAAATTTGGGTGCTCTGATACCAACTTGATGTACACAAACACAATGGTTTCTTGGAGAGATTGAAAGATATCTTTTATTAAGAGATCAGCCTCTATTTATAGAGTTTGGCTAACAACTCATAACACGGTAAAAACTAGTTACTGTGTAGTAACTAACAACTAACTAAAGAACAAAGCTTGAAAGCTAGATCTTAAAGGAAAACCTTAAAATAACAACTAAAACACTACATGTTGGCCTGACCCTAGTTGTAATCACTGAATAGGTAGGTTTTAATTATGGGCAACAGGTTTTTGGTTGATTCCGTTTTGCAGCAGTTTTGAGGGTTGAGATATTATCGCTTTCGTGTCTTCTCTTCGTGGAGGGAGGTTTCAGTTTCTTTACTTCTGGTGATCAGCTTGTGTTAAGTGATTGTTTTGGTTTTCTCCTCAGCAGTCCTTTTGAATTGATGAGCATTTTTAATAATAGTTTTCAACATTTGTTCTTGGGCTTCAGCTGTCATCTATTTCATGGTTTTTGGTTTCTATGTTTCGTTTGTTTTTTCTTTTTCTTTTTCTRCTTCTTTTGGGAGCTTATATCCTTGAAGTTTTTTCTTCATTTTCATATTATCAATGAAGTTTGTTTCTTGTTAAAAAGAAAATAATATATCTTTCTTCAGCATTCGACCATCCTCAAACCTTTGCAAGGCTTTGTCTGCCATAAAAGGATTAAATTGACAACTTTGTGAAAATCGATCTTTTAAATCAGTTGGAATTTTCTTTCGATCATCATGAGCACAAAGCTTTATGATAAACATAAGGTTATCCCAATTTATCGAGAAAACTTCATCTTATTTCCTAACCCAGAAATTATTTTGAACTGCCTTTGCAAGTGCAACTCTCTCCCATTTGACGGTTCTTCTCACTGAGCATCCCCTCAACTTACACTTCAGGTTTGAGGAGCTCCGGCTAGAGGTCCCCACTGCCCTATCTGGGGATTAAAGGCTTTTGAACCGTCTTCTACAAATTCATTCTTTCAATGCATCTTTGAGGAAGCCTTAGCAATCATTTTTGAAAAAACTGACCAAGCAAATTTGTTGAAACTAGCAAGCACATAGATATATTTTCTTCCACCCGAGGAGGGCCAAACAACTAATTCCAGAATTCAACCATACATGGAGCTTTTCTTCTGAATACGACAAGTCTTATGTTCATCTCTGACTTGCTTGAAGAACCTAAAATGCAGGGGAAGATGCAAATAATCCACCAAAATGCTCTCAAACCAGTGGAGCTGGGACCCAATAAAACTTGTTCCCAATACAACAACTTTTCAAATTCATACTTTGCAAATCCTTAAAACCAAATATAAAACAAATCTGAACAGAGATCTTAATCTCGATATCAGAGCTAATCTAGAAGAAAGCCCAACTTGGAACTAGAGAATACCTTGGGAGTCCTATGCTGAAGGAGAGAGAAGAGAACATTTTCTGCATCCTTTATTATTCAAGATGAATTTTCTTAATCCCTAGATTGCACATATTTGTTATATTAGAATATTTCTATTCTCTCAAAATTAAGAATACTGTGGTCTATCTGAGATTTTCTGTTAGTTTTTTGTACTCCAGTGGCTTGATGATCTCATTGTATTCCTTATTGCTGCATGCACCGCAGGGATATATAAAGCTTGGCTTGAAGTTTTCCAGCTTGAGGATAATGAAACAAATTCTGTTGGGGTAGTTATTTCATTGGTATATTGTATTATCTTCGCATGCCTACTTCCTGTGAATAATTATGCTATGTAGTTGGAACTCAAGTACGTTCAACTGTCGCTTAATGCTTGGTGCACTCTTTTTGAGTTAACTCTTTTTGAGTTATGGCTGATATATATTCTAGTAATACAATTTGTTCTCTTTGCAACTGCTATTCATGTAACATATTGCTTTATGTCAAGAACGTTTGGCTTAAGACTAAATGCATCATTTCAAAAAGTTTTAAGGGCAATTTATGAACCAGGCTAACATAAGAAGGAAGAGCGCAGACTTAAAAGTTATGATAACATCTAGTCTTAATGTTTTCGAAATTTGGAGGATGTCTTATCTTACATTTTCCTTTTTTAAATTTTGAAGAAGAACAAACTTTTCATTGATAGATAAAAAAGAAGCAAAATATTCAAAGATGTAAAGTCCTGAGGGAGCGAAAAAAGACTAAAACAGCCAAATAAAAAAAATAAACTCCAATTGTTACAAGAGAATAAAACATTGTAGAACAAAACACTTAATATCTTGCAAGCCGAAACAACGAAAACTATTCCTGCAAAATTCCCAAACAACAAAAATTATCCCATTAGCAAAACCACACAGCCATGAAAATTTCAGCAAAGGGCTTGTTACCAATTCCTACCTATGGTCTATTTCTTCTCTGTAGATCAGTTTTAATGAATTTGTTTCTCATGGGAGAAAACACGTTGGTAGGTTTTCCATCTCTCACCAGTCCACATAATTTCTCTTTTAGTATTTTTTTGTAAAAAACCAACGGATTAATCTTGTCATTCTTCTTTGTATTATGATACAAATCCTAACTATGTGTGTGAGGCACACAATTTCTGTGAATAGATCTAAAATTATCTTGATGAATTAATGGATCAATTTTTCTATGGCTTGCTGCACTAGTGATGCCCTTACTGTGACCAGTGTGTAAAAAAATTTGTAAATATGCTGGAATAGTCCCCTTCACCGTACAGCTTTCCGTCCATACAGATATCACATTGTTGGATATTTGAAGGACTTAACTTTTTTTTTTCCCATGATGTTTATTCTTTTTTCCATTTCTCTATTTACTCCTAAAGGGAGTTGTAGATACAATTACTTATTTGTAACTTTTGACCAAAAAAAGTTCTATTTTTTTTTTTACTGAAAGGTACATTTGTGATTTTTCTTTTTTTTTTTTTGTTTAGATTTTTGAATGTTTAGTAGTTCTCTTATCAATGCAGGCAAGAATGTGCAGCATGGAAAATTTCCATTGAACTTTTTGTGGTATTATGTTAAACATCAAACTTTAAACTTATCTCAATTGTGATTCTCTCATTTATCGAGGTCATTGGGTGGATGGGTGAGAGGAAGCCAAGTCAACAAAACAGTGGAAATTGTAGGCTTGGAAATCTATTGTTCATGTCAAAGTGAAGTTCATGTGGAGGGATGCGAGGTAGCAGTGGGGACTAAAGTGAACCCATTTGAAGAAAAAGTTGACTTCATATTAGCTCCATGTGATGCAGTCTTGTCACTTTTGGTAGGTATCCGAATATGAATAACTTGATTGTTGAATAGTCTTTGCTTCTTTTTCTTGATAAAGGTTTCTATGTTACAAAATATATGCCTTGTTTTCCATTTTCCCCTTTTTATCATCATTATCATTTGCTTTTGATTTTCTCATTTTATTTTGTTTTGTGAAAGAGATTTAGTTGGAACTTTTGAATTTGCTGAACTATATACTGCTAATTTTAGTGGAAGTAACTCATGGTAGCCGGAACCTGTGAGTTGGCTATAAAATACAGTGCAAACCTTTGCTCCAAATTTGCAGAACAATTATTTGATATTTATGGGTTTATTATTATTATTATTATTATTATCATTTCTTCTTAAAGGTAACACTTTACTAGATGGTAAAACCTCTTAAAAAATCGAACCAGATCCTCTATTTATTTAAAGTTGTAGTTTGGGCGTGTTTGCGAATAGGGTTTATCTAGAGTAGTAGTCCTTCACGCTTTCACTAGTGGCAAGGACGAGAGGAGTGAAAAAATGCTCCCTCAATAACAAGAAACAAACTTTTCCTTCGGTAATGAAAAGAAACAAAAAAGTTGAAGGATTCAAATTTCTAGAGGGAAAAATAAAAAGWAAAAACAATCTAAAAAATGACATATAGAAGCATAGAAGAATGAAGCTAGAACACCAGAAGCTTTGAATTTGCTAGATCATAATGCTCTGAACAAATTTTGCATTTGTCTTCGGAGATTTTTTGAAGATACTCGAAATAATTTTGGAAATCTGTCCTTGAGGGAGTAATTACATAACTGCTTAGATTTATTTAATACACCAACCAAAGAAACAAAAAGTACCAGCATTACATAGCCGGTCAAGGACCTTCTTTTACATTCTTGAAAGCACTTTAAATAGACTAAGTTTTAGGTATTTCCAAAAAGTATTTTTAGGAAGTACTTAATTATTACTTCCCAAAAAGTGCTTATAAGGCCTGTCTTGACAAAGAAATCTTTATTTTACAGATTTGAAGTTCCAATTTTTTTAATGCTTGCAGTTGTTGACAGTTGATAAAGAATGACATTAAGGTCTTATTTCATTTTATAGGTTAACCGATCAGGAAAGCTGGATAATAGTACTCCACAATATTCTGTTAATGCCGACTTAAATAGCCTGGTTGGTGCATTGTCAACTAATTTTCCCATTGTGCTGGAAAAATATTCGATTATATTTTTGGAGATTAATGTTTATATCATGCATATTTTTCCTCGTTTAGGTTTTCACTTTGAATGACGTTCAGTTGCAGCAAATATTGAATTTATGGGATTATCTTTGCATATGCCGATTAAGAGATAAGTAAGTTAATTGTTTTTGTTAGATGTCGCATATCTATTGCTTTAACTTTGCCTATTGTTCTTAAGCTGTAATTTCTGCTACTTTGCATCCTTTTCTTTCTTTCTTTTCTCCTTTCTTTCCTGTGATTAATTTATTAATTAATTTTTTTTTTGGTCTACTTTTTCAAAGAGGAAGGAAGTAGGCGTTGTTAGTTTTTATACTGCTCTTTCAAATTTCTCCAATGCATGGATTCTAAACTTCCCTTATCTGGTCCTACTTTTTTTATTGGATGCACTGCTACTGGTGGATAAATTCAATTAAATAACTTGATTATTAATAAAAGCAAAAATCTTGGAATCTTTTTGCTACCCATACCAAACATTTGTTGTTGATTTTAAACAGTCACCACACCTACAGTGCATTCCATATGCAAAGAAACCTTTATATTTTGTAAGAATCGGGCAAATTACTAATATTGTTCTAATCATTACTCGAGGCGTAAAGACTTCAAGCTCAATGCATTTTCGAAGAGGCATAAGCCTCTTATGGTTCAAAGAAGGTGTAAGTCTCGAGGCTAAAAGTTAGAGGCTTGCTGAGGCAAGCCTCAAGGCGTAAGCCTCAAAAGCTTATTAAAACATGGCATTTCATAAAGTGGTTGTGCGGCAAATGGTGTCCCTCTTCTTGTACCTTTGAATCCACAACTACCGACGAAGGACCCAGAAATTACCCGACCCAGTGACCATGTTGTCCTTTTACTGTTAATTATTTTCCTTGAATTTGACTTCTTCCTAATTGTAGTTACACCTTTTGCACATAACTACATAAGGGCTATATTTCACAGTGCACCTAATCTTTTATTGTGCAGATATGGAAGATTTCGCCCCTGGTGCTCTCCCCTGTCAAGGAAAGTCAAGGGTTGGCAAATATCATGGTGGCATTACGCACAAGAATCTGTCTTGTCAGATGTACGAAAGAATTTAAAGAAAACTTCATGGAGATATCTTGGACACAGATTGTAAGTGTTTATTTATTATTTATGGATGCATTTGCATGTAATCTTTGTATGTACATACCTGGAAAATCATGTTCTGGTTACTTTCCTTTTTTTTTGGAAAAAGAAAGAAACTTTTTACTGATAATATGAAAAGAAAGAAAAATGTTTGAAGATATTAACTTCCAATGGGAGCCAAAAAAGGTAAAAGAAGGCAACCAAACAAAGAAAAAGCTCTAGAAAATACGAGAGCATAAACAAATAACCAAAACTAAAACCTACAATCTGCGAATGAAAGCAACATAAGAAAACCTATTGGGAATGAAATAACAAAAATCTGAATCAGCATAGGCTTGAATAACTTTCTTCTTCAAAACTTGCATTTCCTAAACTGACGGCTTGCTAAAGAGGTTCCAAAACAAACACTTAATTAAAAATAAAATATCTGAAGAGCTGAAAAGTATTAAAAAAAAAAAACTTCAATAATGTCTAAAAAGTCGAGTGGAGGTTCTGAATAAAGAGGAATAACGAATTAAAGAAGGATAAAATTCCCCAATGTCATTGAACTTCTAAATCAGAATCAATGCTACTATCGCTGACTTCGTGATCCTCGGAATAATCTGAAAATTCTTCATCCAATGCCTCTTTGACAAAGTCATCGTTAGTTGAATGAATAATTCCTTGAGAAAGATGAATCTAAATCTTCTTTCAAGACCTCAATTTCAGCAGAGGAAGCAACCATCAAAGAGGTAGCTTTCGAACCCTTGCTGCAGTTTGACTCCATTTGGATCCTCCTTGGATGGAGGAACTGTCTCCTCCGTACAAGCTCAAATTCGAGGTTTAATTTCAATGAGAGTGATCCCTACTTCTTCAAAATAGCGAAAATGGTCTTCTTTTTGTTTCTGAAAAGAGGACTATCAGAGAATTGGATGGAGGAGAGAGTTCCTCATTGAATAAGTGACCCAAGCTTTCTCCAATTCAGAATTTAAAGTAACCTCATCCACTAACTCCTCAGAAGAATTTGGAGTCATGTTAATGAGACTTTTGATTTGATTCAAAGACCCTACACTTACGTCTGGTATAAAGATGCGGTAAGGGATCAATAAGTCTTCAATTTCTTCATGCATAAAGAAAAGGAAAAGCTATTCAGACTTCCTTTTAAACTTTAATTGAATCCATGGCTTGATAAATGTCTGCCGCATTAATAAAGTCTTTAATGAGCATTAAAGCTGGGAGGCTCGGTAATACCTTCAATTCCACCTAAAAAGTGTTGTTCTTTAAGCAACCATCTTTCAATGACTTTTCAATTACCATAGGAGCAATTAAACGATCTTTATTTAGTGCGCACACGACCTCTAACTTGTCAGAGAGAGACTTTTCATTTTTCCCATACAAAAACCTTTCGTTGTCTACACAAGCAGCCTTTGGAAATTCTTCTCGAGCCTTTGGCTTCGGAAACCTTTCGTTGTCTACCAAGTGTTTTTGGTTGGATTTTATTTGTTTAATGATTGTTACTTTTATTTGTTTCTCAACTACAGAATCTATCGTCGGAGGTATGTCAATTTGTACAGGAAAAAGTTGGAGTTTCTTCATAACGACCAGGTAATTTGATCATTCCTCATTTCTGATAGTAAACTGCAGAAATTAGGCTGAAATGCTCCAGTTGTAATTTTTGCTTATTCTTGTCAGGTAGCACAAAAATTTCTATCTATCAGTTTAAATATTCCGGTTGTATTGGTTGCTCACAGTGTTTTTTGAGCTCGAGGTGCACTAAAGCGCGATAGTTCTTAGGGACTTAATTGCTTTCCTTTTTTTTTTTTTTAAATAAATGGGATTTAATGAAAGAGAATAATTGCCAAAATATCGTTGATTTAAGAACAAAAAGAAGAAGTTTTTATTTGGGTTTGTTTCGTCCCCAAGGATGCTCTTTGTTTGGGATTTGCAATTATAGTTTGATGAAGCTTTCAAGCTGTCTTTTCTCTCCATTCAGCTTTAAAAGACTTCATTGATTGGAGTTTCTTCAAATCTTTTGGATATCCAAAGATTGCATGAAGTCTTGGCAGACGAACAGTTTCAATTTGGCAACGTTTCTCATCTACTCAAAACGCAGCAGTTGGCACAAACAATGTGGCTAGTCAGTTGAGCACCCCTATGGTTAGAAAAGAAGTGGGCATTGGTCAAGAAGTGGGCATTATTGGCCCTACTGTTTTTCAAGAGCTAAATGCAGAAGCTATTTTGAACCAAAAGTCAAAAGGGCAACCCGTTTCCACCGGGTATGAAGAATTATGAACAATTAATTCAACCCCTTCCTTTTTACTACTCTCGTAAAAAGCCTAATACTAATTTTGGAAATCAGCTTGCAAAGCCCTCAGTAGTTGAAGGGGTTCAAGTTAACCTTAATAAGGCTTTCTTTGAAGAACGAGAAGTAGTTAGTAAAGATTGTTCGGATAAGGTAAATGTTCTGGCCATTGGCAGTATCCACTCCACTAACGAAGGTTTGCCTCTTAAATCATCTTCCATAAAATTCTCGGATAATGATTTTGGAGATGAGGATGGCGCAATTAGTATTAGTAGTTTAGACTCTTCTCCAAAGTCAGACATCCCAATTGAGGACTTTTCTGAGCATTCCTATGCGGATGATTTTCAATCCTTATTTAACGAGCAAAAAGAAGATGAGAAACCTGTTCTCCCACAACAAACAACCATTCCTTCCTTTTTTGAAGAAATGGGGATTACCCTTGTCCCAATTGAATCTATTCTCTGAGTTTTAAGTTGTTCGAAAGGTTGGAATGTTCTCAATTATGCCTTCTGCATATTTTAAAGCTTTGCAATTTTAGTTCGGTTGGTTGGTTGAGGTTTTCAAAGTCTTCTCCAGCATGTGGTTTGACATTTAGTGGTTTTATATATGGAGGCTTTTTGAAGACAACGTTGAGGCTTTGTATTTGGTGTTTTCTCCTTATTAGAATTTCGGTTGCGGTCTGTTCTTGTGCTCTATCTTCTACTTGGTTCTTTTTGGAGTTTGGTCTTTGTTTTTGGTGCTAAGGAACCTACTCGGGGCTCCCCATGGTTTAGCCACTGGGCTACGGTTCCCTATCAATTCTATGTATTTCTCCCTTGTCCGACTTTGCTTCACAGCGTGAGGTGAGCGTCAGTGGAATGCCGAAGATTGGATGGCCTGAAAAGCTGGGTAGGATTTCGGGCGAGCTGTGGCCCTCATGCAATTGTTGTCCCTGGTTTTAGTTTGTTTTCCCAAGCTCGGCAGCAAGCAGTTTTTCTAAGTTTTGTTTTAGAATGCTTTTATCTCTTTTGAGCTTGTCTTGCTCTTGTTGCGATATTTATTCGTTATTTTTCTATTCTTCTCTCTTTTCTTTTCTTTTTTCACCCTCTTTGAGGTTTTTTATCTTGAACATTTTTCCTTTTCATATATCAATGAAAAGTTGTTTCTTGTTAAAAAAAAATAAATTATAGTTTGATGACAATTAAATAATTTTTGAGGCATAGCTTTGAAGGTTGGGAGAGTGATCTAACTTAGCTAAGCACATGGATTTCTCTTTTTTGATTGATTGATTGATTTTTTTTTTAACCAAAAACGAGCTTCTCGTCCATATAATAAAAAGATACATTTGTTCAAAGGATATGAACTCTCGGGGGAGTGAAAATAAAGGAAAAAATAAATTGCAGTGAGCTAATGATGGTTAATAAAAGCCTCCCAATTCAAACAAATGTGACTAGGCGAGTAAAGAGAAAACATGTTGCAGAGAGAATACCATTGTGAAGCTTTCAGGATTGCTAAGTCATAATGATCCTCTCAAAATCTTCTCTTGTCTTAAAAAATTCTCCTATTTCTTTCAAACCAAACTTTCGTAATTATGGCTTTAATGGCATTAGTCCAGAAAAGGTTGATATGAGGAGAAAACAATGGTCCTGATAACAAGTGAGAAATGTTCTTGCCTACTTCTTTGTTGAACACCCACTTAATATTGAAAATCTTGAATAGGGGTGGCCAACAATTAACTGAATATTGACATGAAAAAAGAAAACGATGATTCTGACGTTCTCCAACATCTTGAGTAATTATTGATTGCTTTTTTGATGTCTATTAATTGAGGTGGCTTTATCATTTTTTTTTAGAAAGAATACTAAAGATTATATTAACGAGGAGATAAGAGATGAAGATATCTGGCAAGGCCCGAGGGTTACAAAAAACAATCCCAATTAGTTGTAATATGCACGAGGTCTAGGTTGTAATTACAAGAGCATTTAGATATAAAATATTTATGTCTTGTTTAATTGGGGTGGCTTATACCTTATTCTCAGAATTTTTATTTTTCTGTTTTTTCTTCTCTTTTCACTCATTCTAGGAGTTTGTATATCTTTTCATCTTTGCCTCTTTTATTCTATCAGGGAAAACTTGATATATTGTTAAAAATTAAGGACAAAAAGAAGTCAATATCATCAGGATCACTTGTTATAATTGCAAAAATATATATAGATTTCTCGAATTTCTGTAATCCACTAATCCATTAACAAGGTGTGATTTAAACAATTTTTTACTTGAAGAATACATAATAAACATATATGTAAAATAATTTTGTATTTTTTTAAAGAAGTCTGCACTAAATTATTTGTGAAAGTAATTTTTTTTTTTGAACTAATAATTTTGAAGACAACGATGTTCTTTTTTTCAATAAATTAGAGAGAACAAATAACATGTTTGATATTATTACCAAGCATGTTTGTGTTATTTCGTTTTTTGAAAATACGAAACAAGAAATAGAAAACGGGAAATGGATATTAGAAATATGAAATGAAAATGTCACTAAATGGGCCTTAGATGTATTATTTACTATTTATTACATTTGACAAAAAATATAGTAAACTATAAATATCTCGAACAAGATATACAGAACTTTTTATGGCCATTTTCCTGGAAATGTAAAAGAGAAAATGAGCTAATGTTAAGAAGAAACTTTTCCATGTGACAATTTATATTCTTGAAACTACGTTGCAACAGGATCGTTAATATTTATTTACCTCTTGACTTTCAGACTGCACATCTTATTTAGTAACAATGAGGGATCTCATTTTACATATTTGATTTGGATATTCAGTCCTTCAATGTTGTTTTCTTTATTATTTTTATTTTTTTACTCTGATACGTCCATTGTTTCAATTCTCAGTCAATTGATGATAACATTCTTAAAGAATTGGAGGTAATGGAGAAAGAATCAGATATAGAAGATATTTTAAGTTATAGATCGGCTGCTGAATGTGAGTTACAGGTAACATGAACTTATGGATAAAGTAAGAAATAGTATTGATACCAGAAGCATGTTTCTATTTTACTCGGCCATTTCAATGTTGTTAGGCACACGTAGAGTTTTCTTTATCTAGGTGGGTCACTTTCTTCACTGAGGTGCACAGTTGAAACTTTGAAATAATTCTACAGTTAAATGTCAGGATCTCTTGCTTCTGATAAGAATCAGACGTAAATTATTTATCTGGTCTTTGGGTTTCAACTTCCTACTTGTTTTTCAAATGCGTTTGCCCTTTTCTTTCTTTCTTCATCTTGCTGCATCCATTGTGTGACATACTAACCTTACTTCTATTTCTTTCCTCATTTCTAGCACACCATCCTCTGCTGCTTCCTCCTCTCTTCCATTAATTTCCTGAAGCTTCTGATTATTATTGTATTCCAGAAGTTTCATTCGTGTTCTTCTATCTGATAACATTTTTAGCCTTGAAGTAGGATATGCATTTCTGTAATGATCCTTCTAATTATTTTTTTGTATTTAGAACTTCCTTAAAGTTTTGAATGTTTTATTTTGTAGTTTAATTTTGGAACTTTAATTGTCAACCACCCTTTCCTACCTGTCCTAAATGAATTGATTTCTCTAATATTTTGAGACTTCAGTCAAGCGGTGATTTCTCTCTAGTTTGATTATTAATTATTTCTTCAAGGATATTTATATAAATTTTGATGTCTTGATACCCCGTCTTTATTTTCATTCTATTTTTTAGTTCTCTTTTCACTCCTACTTAGAGTTTGTATCCTTTGAACTTCTTTCATCAACAATGAAATGGTCGTATCTTTTTTATAAAAAGATAGTTTGAGCAAGATTTCTACCATTTTAGCAAATTAGATGATATTACTGTTCTTTATTAATCTCTCACTTTCTATCTTATTTAAACTTATTGTAAATGGATCAACTAGCATCTATTTGGCAGTTTGAGGCCAGAAATGGTAGCTACTGCTACACAATCAGCTGTTGAGAAGTCACAAGTCGATGATCGTTCAATGAGGAAACCTCGGGGATGGTTGAACTGGCTATCCCTTGGTATGTTAGGTGCTGGGGGTACTGAAGATTCATGTCAATTTTCTGGAGTCATTTCAGATGATATTGTCAAGGTATTTGTCTTGTTTTGTTTTGGTTTTTGTTGTCCGTGACAAACAAAATACTTTCACTTGTCTTTGTAGGACATATATGAGGCAACCAAATTCCACCCTCAAGTTCCATCTAACGTCAGTGCTGCTGATGAAGAAAGGATCTGTTTCTGTGCCATCAAAATTGACATTCATCAGATATCAGCAACTTTACTGAGCATGTATGAGTTCCGAACTTTCTGAGTCTCAGTAAAATAGAGTTGATTGTGCTCTATGCACAAGATTTGTTCATTGCAACTGAAAAAAATGACAGCACTCATTTTTTCCTTTAAATGATCTTTTATTATTATTATTTTTATTTATAGAAAAGCGGGAAGCAAGAATGAGATATATATCTTAAGCATAAAACCCTTATGAAGTTAAAGAAAGATCCCTAAGTTACTGGGATGAGGAAAAAATAGAGTTGTAAATATCTTTCAATATACAGAATCAATCTGACACTTTGAAACTCTCTCGTTGCTGAGTTTCTAGGTTATCTGTCGTTAAACTTATGAAACAACATTTATGATTACTATGCAGATGGATGTAGCCTTTTCTTAAAAAATATCTAAGTTTTGATGTTGGCATAATTGAATTTCTTCGTTGGTGGCTTCTGGTTTTGTATTGTTAAATTTCTTTTCTTAATCGTTGTAATTCTCCTTGTTGAGCTTATCTACCAGTTTTTTTTTTCCTATCTTTTCCCTTCATCCCTCTGGGGTTTGTATCTTGAATATTTTTTCTTTTCATATATAATGAAAATTTTTTATKGTTAAAAAAAAAAGAATAAAAACATCTTGTATTTGAATTTATCAATTTTTGAAGGCGTTGCTGCTATATTAGAATCAGAGTAACAAACTGTTTTCCTCAGAATGGGGACTATGGTTTAACATTAAATCAGAATAAATAATTTCCCATCTTCTAAGGTCAGTTGAGCCGAAATGGGGATTATGGTTTATGGTTGCAGTATTTTGTTGTAAAGAAGGTACAGAGTAAATTAGTAATTGTATTTCAGGTAAGTGGCCGAATAGGTTGAGTCAAGCTCTTCATGAGAGGCATATTTCTGTTACTAAGTTTTGTTGAATGATTTATTAATAGATTTCTTCATGAAAGGCTTGGCCCTGTTATTAAGTTTTCTTGAATGATTGATGAAAATGATTATTATTTTACTTTGATATGAAGATGTTATTCCTTCTACAATTATGTCAATGATGTAATTATTTTTTCGTCAGCAAATATAATCAAGAAGTTGCAAAGATGATATTCATCAAGACAATGGTGGAGTGTAAAATTTGGATGGAAGCTGCAACCATCAATATATTAGTCAATTCTATAGAGATGGTCAATCCACTGAACCAGAGAGTTCTAATTTTTCTAAGAATGGTTGTGTTTCTTCTCTTCTTTGTAGGGCTTAGCTTTCTGTTTCTTCTGATTGAAATGAATTGGAGATTCTTTGTAGCTTTATTATATTGATATGCATGTATTTAATGTGATGGTAGTATATTTCAGCATATGCATATATGTACTTATGTAGATAGTAGTTTTGATTATAAGGTAATTTTTAGTGTTTGGAGAAGTGTGGTTGGAACTTTGGTGTGGTTTTATGGTTGGAGGCGGATGAGTGCTTGAAGATTTGGAGGACATTTAGGTTTGGGATAAAATCATTGGTCTTTGCTAATATGCCATGGGAAGGTTACAATTTTGAAGATGTGGCACTAATTAGGAAGTGTCTAGTTAGAAAGATATTTCTTGGAAGATACAGTTTTAATTTGATAATTTTGAATTTATTTTGAAATCATAGCGTTAGAAATATGTTCCAACTCAATAGGAGTCTTGTTAGAAATGGGAATTATATCTCAATTATATAAATCATTTTGCTATTTTATTCTAATTTTATATTGCTTTTGCAATAGTCTTTAACTCATTAATAAAGCTACAATTCATTGTTTTTTTTTAACAAGAAACGAACTTTTCATTGATGAATGAAAAGGAACAAAAATTTGTTCAAAGATATGGATGAGTAATAGAAAAAAATATAAAAACACGAACTTTTCGTAAAATTGTTATGAAATGTTAGAAAAGGGAGAAAGACCCATTCATTGAGATTACAAAAGCTTCTCCCATTGGATAGGAGAGAATTGTAACTGTAGTTGCAAATAGGTATAACATGTTTATGCCAATATAAAGCCAAAAATAGGGAGAGATCAAGTAGCCATTCGGCCGGTCTTTCTTTGCCTTGAAAGATTCCAGCATTATGATCATTCCCAATAACCCAAATAATGGCTCTGCTGATGTGCATCCACGTGGTCTTCTTCCAGGAAGGGGTGGTCTTTTAAAATAAGTGTTAAACTGTCACACTTGTAGGGAAGGGCCAAAGACCAATTAAAAGCTGTAATAACTTGTGACCATATCTTCGAAGTGAAAAGGCAGTGGACAAAAATTTGCCTGTGACTTATTTTTTGCTTTGCACAAACTGCACCAACTTATTTTCTACCTGTCAAGCGTCCTTGGATATCATCCTTTCAAAGGGGAAAAAAGCTTAATGAATTATTTTCGAGCTTTTTTATGAGTCACTGACAAGAACGAAATCAAAGAATCTTCAAAGATGTGGGTTGATGCTTTGACCATTTTCTTGACGCTTTAGTTTTTTTCTTTTTTTTTTGGCTGTATAGGATTATTTATGGCTACACAAACCGTTGAGGATAGTTCTAGATCTGGTCCAAGACGAACTATTGTATGGGATTTATTGAAACCATCGAATACAGAATATGGTTAAGTGGCTCATGGGTGGGGAACTATGCCTTTGATGAGTTTTGAGATGGGTACATTTATGATATTCATGTCTATTATTTTTTAGATTTATAATTCTTCCATTTTACTGGACAGAATTTCAATGAATTAGATTCAATTCACAAGAACCCCTAAATAACTTCATGGTATAAATGCTCAGCCCTCTTTCACTTATATAACTTTCCTTCTCTTTTAACAAATTGGACAAGTTTAATGCTCAGCCCTCTTTCACTTATATAACTTTCCTCTCTTTTAACAAATTAGACAAGTTTTATGTAGCTCTCGTAGATTGGGGTTTTCTTCTCTTTTTGTAATTTCATACCATTAGTGAAATTGTTTCTTATTAAAAAAAAAAAAAAACTGTTAACAGAATGTTTATACTTTCAGATTTGTGAAGTTGGTAGCTGGAATTGCTAGAAGAATTTTAATGCTAAATGAGAAATTTTTTGTAGCTAAAACTNCAATTCGGAGAGTGCCATCCATGGATGTCTTTTTTGCCCACGGTCATGGGTATTGAGGCAAGTGTGTTCTGAGCTCCAGAGGAGGAATTTTATATTTTTTGGGTAGTTCTCGTTCCAAATCAGCTTGTAAATGTAATTACTGTTTGAAGATATTTCCCATGTAAGTCTGTTGGCCAAGGATTTAGTAGAAAAAGACCTCCCTTTTCAAAATTCCAAGCCCAATAGTTGCTTCCGTTGGAGGGTTTATACGTTGATAAAAGAGAGATAAAAGATGCCCGCTCACTTGTTTCGTCATCCTTTTAGTTTCTACAAAAACCCATAGCCCAAGAGATATTTTTTCATCCTATAAACCTTCTATAGAGGCATCCTTTGGGTTGGATATCACAACTAATCAGGGATAAACAGTGGACAAGGGTCTGAAACCTTGCTATGGATGTCTGAGTAAATAAGATTACTTTTAAGGACAATGTGTTTCCAGTGGGCTGTTAGAAGATACATTAGACTTTTGCACCGGTTTGAGATCAAATTGGGTAGATCCATACGTGGCCACAAAAACCTTTCTCCATAAAGCAATCTTCTCGATATGAAATCTCCAAAGCCATTTATCAAAGAGGGCTTTGATTAATAAAATATTCTCTTTTCTGTAAAAAACAAATGACAATATTGAGTCATTGACTCTATAATTTTATATATAGAAAGAATTATAGAATTTGGGTATACAAGTTAGAACTTATTACGCTGAAACCTTATAATATAGTATAAATGGAATATCTTTTAAATAATTTTTTGTTTACCTAAACATCATTTCTCTCTTATATGCAGCCTCTTTGTGAGAAAGACGTTGAAGAGACTGGTGGTCCTTCCTGTAGTTTCCAAGTTGATGTGTCACCCAAACAAGAGGTTAACCTGTCTGTAAAGGTGCTATTACTTTGATATGCTTATTTGATGCTGAATAAATGCCCATCTTGATTCTTGTCTTTGAAGTCTGCTTCTCTTCAGTGATATTTCCTGTGTATTGCTTGTAGGTGATGCTGAGTCCATTAGAAGTTACTTACGATGCCAAGTTTCTTCTTTGTTTGTTGGAGTTTTTTGATGGATTTAAGTCCTTCCAATCTCTTCACAGAAGGGTAACGAAAGATGTAACTTCCTCGTGGTGTTCTCAATTTATGTACACATCTGTGTTTCGAGCTGTTAGTAGGACTATGCGACTTATACCTAACCGTGATTCCATTTTTGTGTCAATAACTTTGGTGATAATTAATAATTTTAGTTGGCTTTTGTTTTCATTGAAATATTCTCTTTTTTTCCCCTTAAATTATTGTTGTTGTTTCCTTCCAACATGGCCATATCTGCAAAGGAATCTTGTATTTTATTGAAATCATGGTGTGAAATTTGAACTATGAAGGTCGCCCCCAGAAGTTGGTATAATTTATCCTTTAATTGAAACTTTCTAGCTTGGAGCCTTTTATACTATTCTATTTCTATGATCAATATAATTGGAGGTTGTTTCTGTAACCTCATTTTCCCTTGGTTTGTGGATATGCCTCATTTCCCCAACTGATATTTGGCCATTTCTTCCTGCAGGTTCTTTCAACTCTAAATGGAATTGAAAATGCCGAAGCTCGACTGCTTTCCAAGGCTCGGTAAGTTTAACTTATAATTATTGCATGACTTGGTAATTTAGTAATTGTTGTAGTCTATATCCAGTTGTCTCATATGTTGCATATGTAGAGTGTCACATTTTGTTGTTTTTGCTCCTGCAGATGCATAATGTCAAGGTATAAGAGAGTTATGTGGGACATTACTGTCAATGGTATTACAGTTTATGTTCCTTGGAATACTCCTTCAGAACAAAATAACTTGGTAAATGTCCTTGTTTTGTTGCTGCAAGTTTATGTACATATTCTGATAATGCAGGTTTTCGCACTTCCATTAAAAGACACCTGAAGTTTACTGTGTTGAGAGAGGAATGATATTTTTCGTTCTTAATTTCCATAAATAATTATATAGGAGTACATTTGATACTGGATGTAAATGTTCTTAGGAAGGCAAACAACCAATAGTTAAGAGTACTTCCCTTGAGCCACCAAGTGTGGATATGATTTAGGGCAACTATAGCATATATCCCAAGAGCCAGATGCTCATGTCTTTTGCACTTTCCTATCTTGTTGTTTTGAAGATGCAATTATTTGTAGCTTGTTCATACATGGTTCAACTGGTTCCTTTTAGTTGTCTTGAAACGGTGCTACACAATTTACAATCACTCCAGCATTAAGCTCTTCTTTAATCAAATTCTTATCATAAATCATAATACTGTCACGTGGGAATACAATAATTACCACATTCTCAGAGGGTTTCCAAACATACATGGTTCAACTGGTTCCTTTTAGTTGTCTTGAAAAGGTGCTACACAACTTACAATCACTCCAACATTAAGCTCTTCTTTAATCAAATTCTTATCATAATCAAAATCCTGTCACGTGGGAATACAATAATTACCACATTCTCAAAGGGTTTCCAACCATTGTATGTTTTCAGATGGTCAATTACCTTTACTGACAATAAGAACGTGGCTTTCGTATTTTTAGTTACTAATAGTATCTTCTTCACTATAATAACTTGGATTAATTATGTAGACCAATATGTTATTTAGTTAGCTGGGTTGTTAGTTAAAGCTTTGTTAGTTAGTTTCTGTTATATTATATGTTAGTTGCGGCTGTTAGGCTTATTTCCCAGCCCTTGTTTTAGATCCCTCGCCTATATAAGGGAGGATGGTCATTTCATTTTTAAGTTTTCCAGATTTAAAGAACATTCCCCATTGGGCTACGTCAAGCAGTATCAGAGCACCATTGTTCTTAGGCTCGATACTTCAAGTAAGAAGGATGTTTCAAATATTGGAGATTCTTTGCTTGTCCAAAAAGTGGCGGTTCCAAATCTCGTCCTCTCTCCATGATCCACAACCACTCGACTCATGATGGTTGAAGCCACGGTAAAAATTGTCCAAAAGAATGTGGTGGAGATATGACAATTGTTACATGATGTCATTACTCGGCTGGTCACCATGAATCTACAACCAAATCCTACAAGATTGGATCAAGAGGATTGATCAAGATCGGTTACCACCTGCACCAAGATTGGTCGAAGAACCTTTAGTTGCTCCAAGAAGGGTGCAAGAACAACATGATCTGCATTACAACCAACATATGCACCTTCCTTTTTGGCGACAGCAGGAAATCTATGTGGATTCAAGAAGACGTACCTGATTAGGAAGGAGACTGGAGGAATCCTAGGAATTATAATCAACATTATCAAGAAAATAATGGATTCAAGATGAAGATAGACTTACCAAGTGTTGATGAAAAAATAGATATTGAGGGATTTTTTCGATGGATCAAGAATGTAGAGAACTTCTTCAATTATATGAATACAGCGGACAACAAGAAGGTTAAGCTAGTGGCTTTCAAGTTAAAAGGTGGTGCTTCGGCTTGGTGGGAACAACTTGGGAGAAGATGAAGAAGTTGATGCAGGGAAGTGTTTTACATATCAACTATGAACAAATTATTTACAACAAATATCAAAGTTGCAATAGCGGAGTATACTGGAGAGTTTCTGTAACAATCGAAAAAAATATATAAATATATATATATATTTAATTATTATTTTTTAGTTGTTTTCTTTTATTTTCTCAAAGATAAACTTTTTTGTTTTAGAAATTATTTTTTTAAAAGATAATTTGTTCTTGGTATTTAAAAAAAAATAAAAAGAAAGAGTTTTATTAAATCTTTATAATTTTATTATTCTTTTTAAATAAGGATTCGTTAGGGTTTATTATAAAAGCCCTTAAACCCTAGGTTTTATTTTTCTTAAATTGCTAGACCTAGTTTTCTGTCAAAGAGAAAAAGAAAAGAAAAGAAGAAGAATTTTGGTATTTTTTTTCTCAAAGATCAGTAAGATTTTCTTCCTCATTGTTTTAGTTTTATTTTTCTTGATTTATAGTTCTTTAATTCAGTTTATTGGGAAAAGTTTTGAAGCCTTTGTTTTTTAGAATAAAAGATTTTAAGGACTTTTTACCCTAAAAATTTTCCAGAGTTTTTGGTTTCAATCTTTTGTTTATGAGATTGTTTTTGGATTATTTTGAGACTCTTTTTGCATAAAAAGTTTACTTATTTGTATCCTATAAATTATAGTTTGTTGTTATGATTTTTACCGGAAAAATTATATGTTTTTACCAAGTTTTAAAGGTTTTATATACGGTTTTTCAGATCTGATTTTTCTATAAAAATTAGTAAATTGTTAATTGTTTTATGGAAAATTCTTTGAAGTTTTATTTTATAAAACAAAAAATTTTTAAGATTTAGAATCTCCAAATTTTCAATTGTTTAGAAGGTTTTTAAGCTGGTTTTATTGAGAAACTTTTTGTAAATTTAGTTCGTATTGATTTATATCGATTCTTCTAATTTTAAAATTTGTTATTGTTGAATTTAGAGGCATTTTAACCTAGTTTTCAGATCTGGTTTTGTAGCCCCAAATCCATACTTTCCTAATTATTTTAGATAAAAAAGTGTTTTGAATGAGAAAATTGGGTAGATAAGA